CTGTTTACCATTATCATTGGAGACAAATATATAGTGTGAATTGTGCATGATAAGTCAACCTCTTGGTCTCATGATAGGCCTGTTACCAATCTATTATATAACTAGTTCTAAACACAAATAACGTGTGATTGAAAAATAGCTAATAAACTAAAAATAATAATAATAAAATTTACAATTCACTTCTAATTTATTTATAACATAATAACAATAAACTTTATTTAAAGAAAAGAACTAAGGGTCGCATTTAGCAAAGTGAATAAGCCTTGAATTTGTCAGGTCTGCAAACTTACAAGTCACATAATAATTTATAAAAATGAAAAAAAGGGGTGCCATGCCATATTGAAATGATTGTTGGTGATAATGAATCAAAAATCGATTTAATATCGTAAAATAATATTTATATATACACACACGAAGTATATAAAATATTATTCGATATATTATATCCGAAATATATATATATATATATATATATATATATATATATATATATATATATATATATATATATATATATATATATATATATATAAATCAGACCACCATGGTTATATGCATGAATATCTACGGAAAAGATATATACATATCAACCAAATGGAATTTATAATGCACAGATTATAATTCCAACCAAACTATAACAGAAGAGGAGGATTTTTGCTTAGAAGCATAATCCAAAACCGAAAGAAGGAAAAGATGGCTCGTGTTTGGGTAAGGGTTTTTAGCGTGAATCAAGAGACCACTCTTTCCTTAAAACCTTATTTGCCACCTCCCACAAGTGCTAGGAGCGTCGTGACCTAGGTTTCCCAGGATAAAATGCGCTACGGTTCGACGTTCGAGCACCCAAACGAACGAACCCGGCGAACTAGAGCAAAGCCTTGAACACAGTTAGGCTTAAGAAAGGAGTAGAAGCAGAAGGTTTTGAAGCTTGAAAACAGATTTCGTGTAGAGCTCTTGTACTTGTTCGTAGTGTGCAAAGCTTCTTCCTTCTACCCCTTCTTATATAGGAGTGGTGTACTAAATAACATTTATCATGGCGTTAATTACACGTTGTGTAACATCTGAAACAGCAACCCCCATTAACAGGATTAAATTCAAAATTCAAAACTGGAGTTAATGGACTGTTGGCCTTCTCGGCCTCCCAAAGCCGAAACCATGGTTCAGTTCAGCCTGGACCGAGCTCGTCTCGGTCTTGGCCGAACCCAAGTGGCTAACTTAGCCCGCAAATTTCCGGACGACATTCGTGCCCCTGGACCGAGCTCGTCTCGGTCTTGGCCGAACCCAAGTGGCTAACTTAGCCCGCAAATTTCCGGACGACATTCGTGCCCGTAGGTGCCGGCGCACACGAGCTCGGGCTTGAATCAAGTCTTTCCGAAGTCATCTCTAGTTGGAATTTGATTTGCACCCGCCTCCCCCCCCCCCCCCCCCCCCCCCCCCGCGCGCGCGAGAGAGCCTCTATGCTATACAATTCTACAAGCTCTAAAAATGCTCTTGTATAAAAGGGGGGTCAAATCCTCTTTCCAAACGAATGTGGGACAAAAAAGCTCACTTTTTCCCTTCATTTTTCCAACTCAACGGGTCTACTTTGAGAATCAATATCTCATTCACCCATTATCCGTTTTGAGCGTACAATATATCGATCTCTTCGTCTCACTACGAAGAACCCGAATCCACTTTGACCCGACTCAAATCGGAAGTGGACCCCACTGATAATTGTACCACAAAATAGCCACTTAAAATGCCATTTTAATGCTATTTTTCCAACAATGATTGACATTTCAGGGATAAGCACAACCTAAGTATGATATTATTGCAGTTTGGTAATAGCCAACAAATTGCAAATAAACAAGGGTGAAGATTGAATTGAAAGAAAAGAATTGACGAAGTCAATAAGGTATTGGTCTTCTAAATATATTTTAGTGCATGATTGGTGGTCCATAAACAATCAATCTATCAGTGCTTCTTTTTATATGTTCAAAACAGACAAAAGTTTGTATGTTCAGTTCAGTGCGTACTGTGAATTGGGCACTAATTAAATGATTGCATTGGTTGCTAATGCTAATTGGCATGCTCACCCCAGGCCAGTCCACTTTAGAATTAGAGAATTGGGTAATACGAACAAAAACTTACGCGTTTACGTAGAAGATGAGAGAAACGTTTGGTCGGGGAGGGACACGGATAGTTATGCTGTGGGCTCGTGCCCAGCGTGCTTCATGGGCACGGATAATGGTGCCGTCAAGCACCGTTATCTTTCTTTTTTTTTTATTACAAAGGAAGGGGGATACCCATACAATCTATGCCTACACTGAGGCTCAAAACCTAGACCTCCCACATAGGGGAGCAATCCGATACCAGTGGACCACAAGCCACCGGTACCGTTATCTTTTTTTTTTTTTTTTTTATTTTTTTATTTTTTTTTTATTTTTTAGACCGCTTCGTTATAGGAGCATATATTCACAGCTTTGTGTTCATAATTTCATAATTGTACATTCATAATTTCATAACTGTACATTCATAATTCCATAACTGTACATTCATAATTCCATAACTGTACATTAATAATTCCATAACTGTACATTCATAATTCCGTAACTGTACATTCATAATTCAATAACTGTAAATTCATAATTTTCGAAGCTCTATGTTCATAATTGTAAGTTCATAATGTCAGAGTTCTATGTTCATAATTTCATAACTGTACATTCATAATTCCATAACTGTACATTCATAATTCCATACCGAACATTCATAATTTTCGAAGCTCTATGTTCATAATTGTAAGTTCATAATTCCATAACTATACATTCATAATTCTATAACTGTACATTCATAATGTCATAACTGTATATTCATAATTTCATAACGAATATGCCGTTAACGGCGTTTCGAACAATTTTTTTTTTTATAGTTAAAACAGCGTCGTTTTCACGGAAAACGACGCCGTTTTAGCGCCGTGCGCACGTGCGCATAGCATAATTTGCCGGAGGGACACCATTACAAACAACGTTATACTATAAGTACATATTGTTAATATGTTAATTACATGTAATTATGTAAATAAATTGTTAACTACAAGTCTATAAAACCAATCTTACTAATTTTCAATCATTTTTTTCTTAAAATTATACCATAATCATGATTACATGTTAAATATTCAATTTATGAACCTTTAACTTTAGTTTTATTTATCCGTAGTTCACATATTATGAATTTAAAGCAATATTAAAATTACTTGACATGATACATTTATAGTTAACAAATTATGTGCGTACAATTGTGCATATATAATTGACGGTAAATATGTTACCGGAAATATATTATTAGAATAACACAGTGTAAAAGAGTGACAATAGTTGTATTGCCAAGTGTTTTAGTACAAAATAGTCAACGTGTCTCTCCAAGCTGAGGGGAGCCCCTACTTATACAAAAGCTGCTAATGGTAACAACATGAGGCATAAATGGGGAGTTAAGCCTTTAATTCTCTCTCACCAATGGTGACTTCAATGGTAGTAAAGGTGATACCCGTTGCAATTCTGCCCGTTGGAGTTTTGCCCGTTGGGTTTCCATGTGGTGCCGGGTCAGATGCTGCTTATGACACGGGTCGGGTGCCAGCACCATTATCCTGTCAATAATTTTATTGCATACATTTGACATATTATGCACTTACAGTGAATGTGAATGTTGATCAAATAGAAAGAAAATAAACAAAAAATGGATTAATTTCATTATTTTGTCCAATATTTATAGGTGTCGACACATTTTTTTTTTCAAAACATTTCAGTTTGATCCTAGTATTATCATGTTATGATCATTTTTGGTCATTCGTCAATAAAATCATTTAAATGACGTTAAATACAATGTTATTTTTGCTCTATTCAATTCTAAGTGACTAAAAGTGGAATAACACATACGAGTTTAGGACCAAAAAAAAGAAATGACTTAACATTTTGAATTGTACAGACTAAAATGCCAATTGTATTTAATGCCATTTAAACGATTTTTAAAAATGGTCATGTCACAATAATATTAGGACCGAGAGAATGTTTTGGAAAAAAGACTAAAAGTGACATGACGCTTACAAATGGAGAACCAAAAGTGAAATTTACTAAAAGATATAGTGCAAATTTAAACAAAACAACATCGTTTTGGATCATCCAACTGATTGGGCCAAGATCGTTGGGCGGCCTGTGTAATCTTTTGGATCATTGGGCTTTTGGGCCATTCGTCCCAAATATGAAATATCCAGAGAACTGCAATGCAATCGTTATGCCTGGGACCCGTGTCCAGCATGCTTGCTGGACACGGGTAACAGTGCCGTTAGGCACTGTTATCTTCTTCTTCTTTTTTTTTTTTTTTTTTTTTTTTTTTTTTTTTTTTTTTTAAATTTCAGATCACTTTGTTATAGAAGTATATGTTCATAATTTTATTACTATATGTTAATAACTATACATTCATAACTCCATAACTGTACATTCATAACGTCATAACTGTACATTCATAACTCCATAATTATACATTCATAATTTTCGAAGCTCTATGTTCACAATTTTAGAGCTCTATGCTCATAATTTTATCACAATATGTTCATAATTGTAAGTTCATAATGTTAGAGCTCTTTGTTCATAATTCGATCAATAACTGTACATTCATAACTCTATAACTGTACATTCATAATCTTCGAAGCTCTATATTCACAATTTTAAAGCTCCATGGTCATAATTTTATCACTATATATGTTCATAATTGTAAGTTCATAATGTTAGAGCTCTGTGTTCATAATTTCATAATTGCATAACTGTACATTCATAACGGCATAACTGTACATTCATAATAAAAAATAAAAAAAATAACGCCGTTAACGGCAAAACGCGCACGAATTTTTTTTTTTTATAACTAAATGAGGCGTTTTTTTTTAAAAACGATGTCGTTTTGGGCCCGTGTCCACAATGAATTGTGGACACGGGTCCAGGGCATAATTTGCCACTGCAATGGCGGTGATTGAAGAAGCGCTTTAGTTTGTTCATCGCGCCGAGCTCTGTTTTCACTTTTCACTCGGCGTCGTTTGTAGAATAGAAATTGGAGTGGCCGCCTTCCGTAATCATGGCCGTTACACCAAATCCCTGTGAATCTACGAAACCACAGGTATTCAATCATGACTGTTTTTCTTTAATGGTTCTATGTATTCACCTTAATTTTCTAGGATTCTCGTATGTTTATTTGGTTGCTCAATTACACAATGATCTCCGACTCTGTTGTTGAACTCAACATTCACCAGTTAAATGATCTCCGAGTCTGTACTAAATATTGAGTTCCATGATGTTCGGACATTTCGACAAGTGTTTATTGTATTTGAATTGAATTTGCACTGGAGTTCATGGAATACCAACCGTCTGGATTGTATTGCCAAGATTGAAATTTCTGTTGTTCTTGTATGATAAATAATCTTTATAATAGTAAATGTTGTTGTTATAAAAACAAAATTGAATGCATTATAGTTTTAGGTTTTGCTTGGTCTGGACATGGAAGGAATCAAATTGTTTTGAGATTTAGATTTAATTATTTTGTTTTTCATCGGTGAAGTTCTGAGCTTAATGCAGTAATTTATTTGGTCTGGACATGGAATCATATTAATATGCTGTTGACTTTACGTTTGCAATTAGGGTAAAGGGCTTACTAAGGTGCTAGAGATTCTTATTGGTTAATGGAAGTAATGTTTCTGTGAGATAAAAATCAGTTTCTATTTAGTTTAATGGCCTCGTCTTCTCAGCCCAAATACATTTGGTTAGCAGCTGCCAATGTATGTATATGTTGAAATTGGAATTGGGAAATCGAAGTACTTGAATATTTTACAACTTTGCATACCTTTGTTTGGTCTTCAGGTAGTTGAAAGGGTTGAAGTGCACAAAAATTTGACTGCAAAGACACCCTTGCAGATGAGATCTGATGGTAAATGTAAATTAGATTTTATTTTACATTCACAATTAAGACTGACTAACAATATCAAGGCATTGATCCAAGGTCTAACTTTTGGTGTATATTAATGTTTTGATGGTTCAGGTGTTACAAAAAGAAAACGGATTGGTGGTGGGAGTGCAACTGCAGATCAGACAGAAAGCCTATCTGATATTGATGATAGTGAAGTATGTCATAAACATCCCAGATTCATTTCTTTTTGTTGTTAAAATATAACACTTTTCTGATTATTATTGATTAGATGAGTTGCCACAACACTTTATGGGCACTGGGTGTTTGAAAGTCATCTCTCTCTGCCTCTGCAATCATCTCTAAACCCTCCAATCCTAGATGGTTGAAACAAGTTCTCACCGGAGTGAGGAGGCAACTTTTTGTTCTCTCTAGTTGAAGGGACTTTTACCTAGAAATTGAATTGATTTGAGTGACAGTGACAGTTGTATATTCTGTATTTTATTTGATTGCCCTGTGTCATGTGTGTGCACTATTTGGTTACTAGACATGCTCAATTTGACTGGTTTTTAACATTTGAAGGTTGCTGGATACCTTAACAGCAAAGAGGAGAGGAATTACAAGAAGATTATATGGGAAAAAATAAATCAGCAGTATGCCATGGTATTTTTTATTTGTTTCTCTTTCTCCCCATTTCTTCTACCACACACTGTTTTGTATGGTATAGGTGATTTCGCAGTCGAATATATCTGCTGAACTATCATAGGAAAGGATGAACTTTTGTTTTCCTAAAGAAGTCCACTTTGATGCCTCTGGGTACCCACGTTCTTGCTAACCTCCGAGTACTAAAGCTTTTGTGTGGTTGGAAATGAGGGCAATATGTGTTTTGTTGCTAGGATATTTGTCGTGGATGTACATTGTAGTGCATAGTGACACTGATTATGTCATGCATTTCCGGGCTACTGCATTGTATCTGGAATTAATTTAACAATCTATTACGCTGTATTTACGGTGGTGATTTATTGCAGGCGCAGGCCATGGTAAAGAAAGAAACTGAAAGCAAGAAAGATAAATCTGGCAAAGGTACTGCCATGACCACCAAAATAGATGAGAACAAGGTTGGTACTATACACATAGGAGTATAGTGAAATGGTTTTTTCCCCAACAGAGTTTTAGTTTTTGATAATTATGCTGACTGCTTTACTTTTGCAGATACGAAGTTCAAAAGTAAATTATGAAGCTCTGAAGCAACTCACTGACGAACTGGTATTATATCAATTAGATTTTCCTCTACCATTTTTTGATGCTTATTTCCCTGTTATGCCCCCTCTCTCCGTATTCCAACTATCGCATACATTCTAGTGAGGGTGTATCGATATGATTTACTTGCCCCTGCGGTCTGGGGGTGGGTGGGTGTGGTTCTTGGGGTAACACTACGCCTCTATAGTAGCACAGATATAACTTCCAGAGTCCCGTTCAATTACTGACTAGGATTAGGACTGTGTTTGTTTGGACAACTAAAATGTGTGATTTCAAATCAACCTTAAAGATGTAACCTCTTGGACAAACCCAAAACGAGGAAGAACCAAGAGAAATCTTTTATTTTTATTTTGTATGAACATAGATAGAAATGGTTTAAAGTTGGACAGGTTTATAAAATCCTTTACTGGATAGTCCTACATTCGAATATTGATTGGTAAATGTCATTTCATGTATTAAATGTCACTGCAGAACCAAGGTATTGGAGATGCAGAAATAGTAGAAGGGGGTTCGAGATCTCTGTCTTGTGTAAACAGTGGAGGATCAAATGCCAAAGAGGTTAAAGTTTATGAGTCTAATTCCGATGAGCTAGAGGAAGAGGAGGAGAACCTCTGCAGTGAAGATGACGATGTGTTGAGAGACAGTAACTACGAGTTATACGATGAACATGAGTATGGATATGATGATGACATTGATTATGGAAATGTTTGATTGATGTTCATTTATTCTTGGAGTTACTTTATAATCAAAATTTTTGATTGATATTCATTTATTCTTGGAGTTACTTTATAATCAAAATTTTGAAGTTTTTAGGAACAACTAAAATGTCGAGCCCTATAGGGACAAAAATTGAGCTGAATCATTCTTGTAAGGAGACTTGGTTATGGAGATAGCTAGAAAATTTATTAATTACCAAAAGATCATAAATCTTGCTAAGAAAGAGTTTATTCATCATGTTGAAAGAGGGCATTTGCACTGCACCATTACTACAAAGCAAAGAGATAGTGATGGACTGGTTCCCTCCAAATTATGTCAGGGAGATCACATGACATTACTGCTGACTTGGAGAGATGAGCTGGAGCCATTTATATATATATATATATGCTTAATTATATTATGATAGGATCTATGAGTAGGCCAATAATGTGAGGTTTTAAAACTTTTTCAGGATAAGTATATCCATCTTGGTTATATTGGTACGCGACAAAAATCATGTTTGTAAAATTTACAATACGTATGAGAATCTCTGCTGGAATAGGTGTTGGTTTAAGGAGTCCTTCGTTCAAATCCTTGAGAGCGAGTTGAACAAGTTCGTGAAATTTTTCCCCCGTCTTTTCTAGCGATAGGCCATACTCATTCATGTAGTATTCAACCCCAGTTGACAATTGTCCTCTATCTTTCTCAGTCTTTTGAAATGTACAAAATGAGTAACAGCAATTAATTAGTTGATATTAACATGCGTTTAAAGGAATTTAATTTGTTTGATCTTCCAATCTATGGTAATGGTAAAAATGATAAGGCAACATATATATATATATATATATATATATATATATATATATATATATATATATATGAAAAATATAGGCTGTATAGGCAGTTTAGTTGGTCACAGGGTTGAAGTTTGGAAACAATATAATGACCCGATTCAAGTTTCAGGTTGAAGTTTGGAAATAATGACCCGTTTTAAGTTTCACCAACAGTAGTGTGAGAACAACCCTAGCCCAGCTTTTGTGTTCAGTTGAGATGGATGCACTATTGAGCCGGGGCCAGGGGTGGGAATTTCAACCTTATAAAAACATGAAAAATATCCACATTGAATATTGTCTTACCTCAAACGTGGCTATGTCATCGATGAGTCTGCATATGGTAATGCATGCATCAAGAAGTTTAGGATTTTGCATTAACCAATCAAATACTTTCTCATCAGCACACTTCAACCCATAGCATGCTGTTAGGACAAGAACATAGTAGGTGCTAGTAACGAATGCATTTCTAAGGTATTCATCAAAAGCAGGCTTAGGCTTGTCTCCATCAAGGAACCACTTGGCTTCAATAAGGTAGCCTCTCACAAGTTCCTTCATCTAATTAATTATATATATTACAAACACATATCAGATAGATAGATGCCTTAGCTTCCAATAGTTATATACAAACTTATTATATATAATAAATAACAAATTACTTACTCTTTCTATTCCATATGGGACAGCGTATGATCTTCCTTCTTTTGAAAGATCCTTCTTGTACTCATCAAAAAGGTCTAACATAGCTTTATAGCTGATTTTCATGTAGTTTGGTAGCCGATTTATTTCGCTAATGTCCCACCTAAGAAAACACAATTCGAATGGAATAAACTTAAATTAGAGCATAGAACCAAACAATCTTGGTCGAGCTAGCTAGTATAGACCAGATAGAAACATATATGTATATATTAGCATGCACTACACGCAAGTATACCTTTGTATGACATCTGTGTATACTTCTAATTCTTCAATCGTACCATAAGAATCATATGTGTCATCCACAACTGAAACCATTGAAATACTTTTGGCAAGCATGACTCGAGCCTTAGAATATTGAGGCTCAAAATATACTCCTAGTGCCCAAAAATAGCATTCAACTGCTCTATCCCTTGCATAAGGAAGTTTCGTCACAAAGTCCAAATCTTTCCACCACCTACACGTACACACTTAGTTCAACAAAGCTAGCTATGTATGGGTATAGTACAGTAAACTAACAAATTAATTAGCACTATAATTGTCACAGGCTTAGGGTTTAGCAGAAGAAGAAAGGGAAATTGGGGAAGAAGAGAGAAGGGAAATTTTCATTCAATAATAAGCATAAAAATCTGAATGCAAAATACAAAATATATAAGGATAAAGTTTGTTATTTTCGCAGGAGAAGATTGCTTCAACAGCTTCCGGAATCTACTGATGCAACAGCTTCCTTTCTCAAATGCATGTGATTCTTTTTCGATTCCACTTGCCATGTTCATCACAATAATATAATATAAATATCAAACGTAACCTGGATACTTCACTGAGCTCTTGCTTGTGTAACATCTGCAGCAAATTGAAATCCAATTTGGCAAAGCGGAGCAACTCATCGTTCCTGGACGAGTCCACTTCCGCTTGGTACACCGAAATGAAAAACCGGGTTTCGATTCTGGGCATGCCGGTGTGCAATGGTTGATCTAGGGCGTGTGTCACCATCTTTCTTAAACTGCTGTTGGGTTCCAGAAGTGGTGCTGCACATCGGAGACGAGTCGCCGCAAAATCAATCACTCCTTCTAGAACATCGTCGTCACTGCGTGTTCTCGCGTACGAAGCTTCGTACAAACTCAGCAGACCCTTCACATCAGAGCTGTCTCTGAACTTTCATTTCCGTCAACAAAGTTGCTGAAAATATGAGTAGAAATGTTGTAACCATGTTGCCTCATCAACCGAAACTGAAGAGCAACGGTTTCCAAGTCATTCAAGTGGACGGGATGGATATAAATATGTCGGAGTTGATCGTCAATCTCTTTCTCAAAGTGATATGCTATTCCAAGACGCTCCAGCAAATCGATAAATTTTAATTTCTGGGCCACATCATCACTGCAGCTTCCAGTCGGAATCAGCAGGGTAGCCCTTGTTTGTTCCTTCAAAATCTCAATCTCTTTTGCATATGCTTCAGCAACCTGCATGCGGCATTAAGAATGAATACATATATGATATGATGCACATGCGGCAGGGTGGCGCATTTTAAGTACACACACATGCATATTAAACACACAAACAAAATACATTCAAAACACAAACTCACGCATCTTAAGCACAAAATTCACGGACCTAAAGTACAAAAACATACGCATCTTAAGTTTTAACAACAACTAAACACTCACGCACATTAAGTACAAAACTCACGCACCTTAAGCACAAAACTCACGCACATTAAGTACAAAACTCATGCACTTAAAGTTTCAACAACAACTCACATTAAGCACAAAACTCACGCTCACTAAGTACAAAACTCACTCACATTAAGCATTACACACTCACGCACATTAAGCACAAATCTCATGCACCTTAAGCACAAGACTCACGCACATTAAGTACAAAACTCACGCACATTAATCACCCGCACAACTGCACGGGGACATTACCCGCACTAGAACTTAATTATATATATATATATATATATATATATATATATATATATATATATATATATATATATATATATAACTAGGTTCAAATGCGGTTGGTGTGCCCATGTGCGGTGAGAAGAGAGCCATTGATTTTGCTTAAAAGAAAGTCCAGGATTACAAAATTAAAAAAAAAAAAAAAGCACAGTTGTAATTTGGTAATTTTTGCATCTATGTCAAATTTAAGGTGCGTGAGATTTGTGCTTAAGGAGCGTGAGTTATGTACTTAATGTGAGTAGTTGTTGAAACTTAAGGTGCGTGGGTTTTGTGTGTTTAATGTGCGTGTGTTTTGTGCTTAAGGTGCGTGAGTTTTGTGTTTAATGTAATTAGTTGTTAAAACTTAAGGTGCGTAAGTTTCCTTCTTAAGGTCGTGATTTGTATGCTTAAAGTGCGTCAGTTGTGTAAAACTTAAGGTGAGACATTTTAAAAGCTTAGGTGCGTGATTTGTGTTTTAAGGTGTGTGTTTTGTGTACTTAAGGTGCACCATTTTAATGCTTAAGGTGCGTCAACTGCACGAGAACCCTTCCCCGCACCTGAACCCATATATATATATATATATATATATATATATATATATATATATATATATATATATATATATATATATATATATATATATATATATATATATATATATAGAATTAGGTTCTGGTGCGGTTGGCAGCCTTAGGTGCGGTTAAATCTGAGCCATTGATCTTGCTTAAATCAACGTCCAAGATTACCCAAATTAAAAAAAAAAAATGCGTTGACAATTTGGTATTTTTTGCATCTAGGTCAAATTTAAAGTGCATGGGTTTTGTGCTTAATGTGCGTAGTTTTGTGCTTAAGGTGCGTGTGGTTTGTGCTTAAGGTGCGTAGGGTTTGTGCTTAAGGTATGCGGGTTGTGTCCTTAATGTGAGTAGTTGTTGAAACTTAAGGTGCGTGAGGTTTGTGCATAAGGTGCGTGAGATTTGTGCATAAGGTGCGTGGGTTGTGTGCTTAATATGAGTAGTTGAAACTTAAGGTGTGTGAGTTTTGTGCTTAAGGTGCGTGAGTTTTGCGCTTAAGGTGCGTGAGTTTTGCGCTTAAGGTGCGTGATTCGTATGCTTAAGGTGCGTCAGTTTATAAACTGAAGGTGCACCATCTTAATACTTAAGGTGCGTCATTTTAACACTTAAGGTGTGTTGTTGTAGCACTTAAGGTGCACCATTTTAACACTTAAGGTGCGTCATTTTAACACTTAAGGTGCGTATTTTTATCATTTGAGGTGGGCCATTTTTAGCTTATGCTTCTTTCCTCCAGACACGCGTTTTTTTTAAAACTTTCATTGATTTGAGCCGTTGATCTGAATTTGATCAACGACTCAAATCTAACCGCACGAGAAGCTATACCCGCACCTGAACCATTCCCTATGGATACGCTCTAATGCAAACGCTCACCCAGGAGAGAAATAGGAACCATTTACAGCTTTCCACGTGTTTAGATCAGATGTAATTTTAAAAAAATAACGCGCTGGCATTTCCGTAAATAACTCAAACTTTAGTGCAAGTAAATGTGTTATAAGTGCAAGTAGCCGATGCACCTTTGCAAGTAAAAGGTGCAAGTAAAATCACTTACAAATGCAAGTAATTTACATTGTTAACATTCGTGC